GCTGACAAATAATGATAGTAATCAATAGCCCTATTTAAATGCTGTATTTACTGGAGTAAAATGTTTGATGAAAATACTGGATGAGTGATGTACTGGCCTGGGGGTGCAAGGTTGTGGCCATTGTCAGAACATTATCAGCTCTAAGGTTCAATACTTTTTTAATACCACATATTTAAAACAATACTATCTCCATTAAGTATCGGGCAAGAGTATCGAAAGTACTGAAGTCATAAAAAAGCTGACCTACAATCAGATTTTCAACCCAAGGCTGCAAAGATCAGACAACTGGTAAAGAAAATGAACTGGTCCTCAACCTGTGGCTGTTACAGCAATCCCCAGCAATGACCCCACCACGTGACTGGAGGTGTGTGTTCAGTGACTTTCTCTGTAAAATCTAAAAAGAAAAAAAAAAGATCCTATTTTCTGTACCTAGGACATTTTGTTCTTTTCGCATGGTATTAAAAGAGGTATTGAGTATTGTCAATTAAACTTGCATTGTATGGAAGTTTAAAATTCTGGTATTGTGACAACCTGAATCAACTCTAAAAAAGTATTAGTTAAACTATAGATAACAGTAAATGGTAAGTATTGAGTATGTCAACCTTCTGTACTGACATCCCTCTTTTCATAAAGGTCCAACATGCAGTTTGCAGATCACCGTAAACGCTATGAAATCCTGAATGCACATATTGTGTCAGTTCAGGCGGCTGGCATGCTCTGTGTTAATGGTTCATCAGCTGTAACTCAGGTCATGCCTTGGACAATTTGAGGGGGTTCTTCTGAGGGTGAGTCACACACATTTTCGACATTCCTCTGGATCTGTGTTTGACTGAAAAACAATCCAGTGCAGTTGGAGTTAAAGTACAAGTTACAGTGGTTAGGTAAGAACACAGAGATTGTGGTAAATGATATACTGCACGTGGGAGAAAATGTAAAATCATCCCAAGGGCAGACAGCCAGTCTGCGGTGATCTGTTTCATCACTGTTATCCAATCATCTGTGTTATAGATAGAGATCACAAGAAAGTCAACTTCAGTACCCCTGACACTGATCTGCGACCCTCATGAATTATTAATGTGGAGATTCAATCAGTCTGCAGACTGATTCTAAAGGACCTGGCAGGAGGTGTGAGGGTAATATTGTCATGCTGATTCTCCTGGATTCTGACTGGATTCAGGCCAATTGTGCCTTTTGAGTAAGTACAGTTACCTTGCCCAGAGCAGTTAGATGGCCCCTGGGTATACAAGAGGCTATTCTTTTAGTTGAGCTCTAAATGGTAATGATTCCTGCCTTCAACTGAATTACTCATTAGTCAGGGAACAAGCTGTAGATGTAGAATCTGTAACCACTGACAGACGATAGATGAACTTATTTTCTGTCCAGGTTAGAGAGAGAGATAAGCTAAAATACCAAAGCTTAAAAAGATTTTGGTTGATCTAGATTGTCAGGGTTTTAAGGGGGGCTAATATAATGTTTGACCTGGATGCATTGCTTTCATCACTAAGAGGGCTTCCCTTCCTAATTAATTATTTAGTTAGTCTTTTAAACTGACAATCACAGATAGTAAGTAAGTATCTTTTAGTCTGGGGCAGCAACAATCACTTTAATCATTTATTAATGGATTGATTATCTGTTGAAATTGGCCAAACTCCTAATCAAAGAAATGCAATTCACAGACCAGCTGCAAATCCTCATCGTCAACTGCTGGAATACTCAATAAAAAACTTAAACGATTGATCAGTTATCAAAATTGCTCATTCATTTTCTCTCAATCCACTATTCCAGGGGCGTCAAACATACGGCCTGAGGGCCAGAACTGGCCTGCCAAAGGGTCCAATCCAGCCCACGAGATGACTTTGCACACCAAATACTGAAGCAGTTGTGAAGGCTAAAGTGGGATTTATACTCAGGAAGCAGACCCTGTGCTGTAGCCTACACATATCGCCTACGCCATTGTGAGAATTTGTGTCTGTGTCACTCTGCAGTTACACCTCCAAAACACTAGTCGGCGCCGGGGTTTCTGTGAAGTGCTGTAAAGTTTAGTTGGTTCAAAACACACATTAAATACACTTTAAACATGGCTTATTAGAGACAATTTCAAACACACGTACACAAATCAGCTTCACTATAACTCGCAGCATTCACAGACAAACACATGTCTTTATCTGGACACATTTTCCAGATAAAGACATGCTAATGTTATTAGCACAAGTCTATGGCATTTTACATTGTATGAATTAGCCTATCAGCCGGCAATCTTTTCCTCTTCTCATATAAAACCAGGGACAACAGCAACATTTAAAAAAGGTAACAGTATGTAATTTGGCTTTGTTACAACTCACAAGGTTCACTGACAAAACAACTGTCATACTAAACACGTTTTCCAAACAAATACAAAATGCTAACGTTATTAGCACAAGCCTATGGCATTTTACATTGTATAAATTTGCCTAGCAAGGAGCAGAGATTTCCTCTGCTCATATGAAGCCAGGATAAATCACAAAGTATAAATCCCTAACGGATGAATCACACACAAGACTTAAATACTATTTTAGTGGAGGCTTTATTGTCTTCACAATTTATAGTTTCTTATCTCTGAAATTGAAGTAAATAATAGCTTTGTTTCCTGCTTCACTGCAATGTGTAGTTACATTTCTGGGGGAGATGAACGTCAGGCTATGGCGCAGGTTACGGCATAGGCTCCATGTTGACACAGAGCCTACGGCACAGAAGTATAAATTCCACATAAGAGGTGCAGCTTTCAGGAGCAAGTTAAATGAGTACCCTACTTCATGTAAAATCTGCCTCAGAGGCTTTTCCGACCCGACCAGAATACATTTCTCTGAAAAAACAATAAATACTTCCTGTGGTCATATTTTAAGATATTAAACATTGTGCAAAATGATGTCAACCAGCAGCTTCAGTAAAGAAGTATCTGTATCAGACTTCTGTCTTAAAACCCTACAGCTAAGGTATGGCCAGAAGTTTTATATCCTCCTCAGACCCGAACTTTTGTTTGGTGTGCATTTTTTATTTCTCATAGCTATTTGGGATCAGTAGGGCCCGATAAGTATTAAAAAACTAAACATTGCCAATGATAATAAAGTCCCAATGTCCTCAAATGAGATGACAATTCAATTCAATTCAGTTTTATTTATAAAGCCCAATATCACAAATCACAATTTGCCTTACAGGGCTTTACAGCATATGACAATTAAGTCCCAGTGTCTTCAAATGAGTACTACCTGATTAACAGTGTCTTAGCTTGTTACAGTTTCAATCAGAAAATGTGATCAGGTTTTGGACCTTGTCCACTTTTGTGTCAGGATCGGCTGCAGACTGACTTGGCAGATATGGCTGCCATCTTGTTTTTACATGGATTAGTGTATTGTGCTCTTACTACCACTAAGTGACACAAAAAGTGTCCACGAACAAGGACAACAGGTCTAAGTTAAGTAGAATTAAGTGTACAGTCAAGTAAACCCAAAATGTGATGTTGTCATATATGGAGGAAACACATGGTCGCAGGAGGATATTTAAATGGTTTGTGAGGTGTGGATAACTTAACCTCCTTCTTCAATAGCTTCCACTGTGGAAAAATGTTATTGCAGTGAGTGGTAGACTGACGGGATGGGGAAAAACTGAGACATATTGTTGAAATTGCACTTTTTCCTTGCGATATCTCAGACCATTCATCACTTGTTAAATGTTTAAAAGTGTAGTTATACTTCTTCACACTAAAAGAAAATGAAAAATGTGAACTTTGTTATCATTTTGATTTTATTCTTCAACGGTGTTACTGGTCAGGCCCACTTGAGATCAAATATGAACTCAAATGATTTTGTCACCCCTGCGCTATTTGATTAATTGTCTCATTGTTTCAGCACTACTGTCAGGACTTCATTCAGTGATTAACATGATGTTTGAAGTGGATGCAAAGCTTAACAACACATGCACACACATTTGGCTATTATCATGTCATAGATTTGCATTAATTTGAGCATGAATGGGTGCTCAAGGTTGCTATAAACAAATCGCATATATGGTTACAAACAAAGTATCTCTAGCCTTTTCATGAGGACTACCAGTGGCTGGAGCAGAAACCATGGCTGAATTTATTAGATCATTATTCACTGTGGTGTTCATGTAGCTAGGAAATGTTATTTTGAGGTTATTCTATAATGGTTTAACTGGTCCGGCCCGCTTGAGATCAAATATGAACTCAAATGAGTTTGACACCCTTGTACTATTTGATTAATAGTCTCATTGTTTGAGCACTACTGTTAGGACTTAATTCAATGATTAACATGATGTTTGACAACACGTGCACACATATTTTCTTATTATCATGTCATAGATTTGCATTAATTTGAGCATGAATGAGTGCTCATGGTTGGTATAAACAAACAAAACTATTCCTGCTTGTGACTGGAGCAGAAACCATAGCTGGATTTATTGGACCATTATCCACTGTGGTGTTCATGTAGCTTGGAAATAGTGGGAAAGCTAAGTGACGACAACAATGGTGGCAGCAGGAGGGGTCCCACACTGGAACAAATCACTGTTATTAATAATATATAATCCAAAATGGAGTATTCCTGCCTGTAACTGGCGGTGTTGTATCTGCGGGCTGTAGTTGTGTACTCACAGTGATAATGTGACATAATCTGCTGCTAGTTAGCAAACTTTACAAACCGACCCAACACTGGGCCACGCGCCAGGCTGCCCCCCGTGTCCTCACATTATACAACACGGATTAACGGTTGTTAATGTGCTTTCAAGTCGCTATAACAACACACCGACATTTTTTTAATCGTTAAACCCCCTCAACCCGGGGCCTGTTGGTTATATTTAATTAACAGAGTCCTACTTGAATGCGTAATGACGTCTGAGCGAAGTGAGGATGCGGAGCGTGCGCCCGCCGTTAACCCACTACTCACGCGCACACAAACGAATAATGTCTCCTCTCCGAGATGAAAGTGAAACGGTAGGTTACTTACTTTGGTGTTTTCCCCCGTAGTGAAGACAGAAATGCGGCTTGAGGTGTGAGGAGAAAATGTTTTTGTATTTTTCCTCAAAGTCGTCCTGGTCCCACCTAGCTAGCTAGCTAAAAAAACCTAACGGTCCTGTTGAGTGTCCGCTGGTGGAGCTCAGAAGGGCGCAGTTTGTGTCCAAGTTTAGTATCCGGACTGATTTTTACATCTTTCCATGGCGGACAAAGTTTGTTTTTCCTCTTAAGAAAAACAATGACTGAAGGGAGAGGGGGTGGAAACAAAAAAAAAAAAGTGTCTACAGATGGAGAGTGTGTGAGATGCTGCAATGCGACCTGTAGTTTTTCTCCCCTCACAAATATTCAGGGTGTTTTCTCGTGTCTTGTGTCGTGTCCCAGCTGATGGTGTGTGTCCCCGGGAGTCGGCGGGGTCTGTCTGGGTGTCTGGCCGGGCAGAGGAGGAGGAGGACGGGCCGGCACGAGAGCGGAGTGAGAGGAGCAGACAGAGGGAGGAGTGAGGGGATAACGGAGAGGGAGGGGCGCGGATGACGTCCAAGCACATGAGAGCATTTGGCTGACACACACACATCCGCTTTTTGTTTCCGCTCGGGAAAAGTTTTACCCCCCTTTTTCTGGATAAATGATAACCGAGTTAACGGGTGGCAGAGCCGTGCAGTCTGGTCCCCGCCCTCCATTTTGTATTATTTCATATGTTATTGGATGATACAGTACTTTGCTCTCCCCTTGGGTCACAGCTTTACCATGGCTGACCTTTGACCTCCTTTTTATTTGCAAACGTAGCATAATCTAGCATTGCATTCATATGCTGTGAATCTATAGCTAAAGGTAAAATATATTTTATGGGTTGCTAGAAATCATTCTGTTTCTATAGCCGCATATTTATATTTAGAAGCTCCACAATCCAACACCTCAATTTGTGATGAAGCACCAGAGATGTGGACATGATTCACATGACTTGGACTCGAGTCACAGATTTGATGACTTAGACTCCAGTTGACAAAATAAAAAAGACTTCCAACTAAAGCTGCACAATCAAAATATATATATCCTCCTGAGTTTGCTCTTTTGTTTGGTATGCATTTTTAATTCCTCCTAGCTACTTGGATTCAGTAGAACCTAATAAGCATAAAAACAAAATATTGTCAACGATAATAAAGTCCCAGTGTCCTCAAACGAGTACTTCCTAATTAACAGCGTCTTAGCTTGTTACTGTTGCTAAAATTAGTCACATTTTTATTCTGTATCAAACTACAAACTTTATGAATCATAAATAAACAAGTTTCAATCATCAGTTGTCCACTTTTGTGTCGGGATCAGCTGCAGACTGACTCGGCAGAGATGGCTGCCATCTTGTTTTTACATGGATTAGTGTATTGTGCAAATGATCCCCCCCGCATGTTCACAGAGGGAAATCCTTGTTACAACATTTACTTCCCCTAGATAGTGAAGATTGTCTTCTCGGCGCTCCGCCAGGGCCACTAGATGGGACAAAAAAGTGTCCAAGAATGAGGACAACAGGGCTAAGTTAAGTAGAGTGAAGTACACCCAAAGTAAGCCCAAGATGTGATGTCCTCATATGAGGATGCAGGGGCTCAGGAGGATATGGCAGGAGCTACAGTTCTCTGATAATGGTAAAATGTGTCACAACAAAACATTATAAATAAAGCATTGTGGTGCTACAGAGATGCCCCAGCCTACAAATCATATTCAAGTCATATGGTAGCATGCTGGTTTGGTACAGACCCCAGCATAAATTACATCATCATCATCTTTATATTTCTCTCAGTGGAAATGACATGCAAAAATTACCATTTCCACTAAAACTGCACCTCAAATTACAGTCGCACTAGCTGTCAAAGTAATCGCAAAGTCTTTTTTTGATATATCCTGCAGCCCTACTTGCAACTTGATTTCAATTTGAAAACCAATGACTTTGTCCCACCTCTGTAAAACATCAACATACCTCAAATTATTATCTGCCTAGAGAACAGTTAGGTGAGTGAATAAACAAGTTATCAGTTAGTGTCGTGTACTGACATACTTGTTAGTAAATCTTTAAAAAAAAAAGAACATGACCTTTGACCTTTTTAAACAAACAAACAAAGGCATTCCAAATGTTTGCCTTTACAGGGCAGTGTAGTTCTCCTGTGATGTTTGCATTGCAGTTGCCCTTCTTTCAGCCACAGTGGATGCAAAGGAAAATTATCTAGCTATCCTTGTGACCTATGAACTATATAACAAACATGTGAAGGGTTACAGGCTGACACGCAGAGCAGAATGACCTAAGGTCTAACTAACCTCAAGCCTGTAAAAGAGCTCACACCAGATAGTGGAAATTTGCATATGTGGCATGAGTTCACATGAGCAAGGTTAGTGAGGTTGCTCATGGTGCTTCTTATGTGGAGGTGAAAGGGAAAGATTGTGACATGTGGAGGCTATGTTATCGACATAAGTGCCATATCAACTGTTGATTATGGACAGGTTGTCATTAAAGTACGCTCCACGCAGCCGCCTCATAAAACTATTTTTGTATATAAAGACAAATGTTCTGCAATGTAACTTTAAAATACGCTCAGTGAAGACGCTTCACATGGGTGGAGTGTAATCACCAAACCTTTTGTCTGTTGCTAATTTCAATCACTATCATTACACACCTCAAACTCTCCTGATTTCAAAATGTGTATGTACTTGTCCTTGACAACACAATTACATCTGCACATGAACAGGTCAATACACTCAGGCCCTTGGACTTATTTAACCCACCAGCAGCAGCTCTAACCCCTAATTTATTTATTATTTATGTTTTAAACTGTGCAATACTTTACTATTTCAACTACAAAACTGTGCATGCAATACTGACTTGAAGCCCTGTATTTTTTGTGCAATAATAATTTAACTGTGCAATATTTCAGTTGCACAGTACTCTATTATTTAATTGTTACCTATTGTACTATTGCATTTATATGTCACACACTAGTAGTAGGATGCACATATTTTACACATTTAATATATTTTTATTTCCCATACAACACATCTCTTCTTATATTCTAACATTTTCTTGAAATTTTCTAATATTTTTATATTTATAGATACATATATATTGTGTTATATATTCTAGCACAATGTACATTTTGTTATTGCACACTTGTTATTCTATTTCCTCATAATTTCTCTATGTCTTTATAGTATAAGAGCAACTTGGAATGTCTCCCAATTTTCTGATTTAATTCTTTCACTTTCCTAAAGTAGAGCAATTTTTAAAAATTGAAAACTACACGGCTGAAACACTGTGTCATAATGTCATTGAACTCAGTAATACTGTCATTGTTGCTGCTCGTAATTTTGCCTGCACATGTTCTCTCCCCAATAATTGAACTCAGATCAGGTCATCAAGGGGAAAACTAGTAAACTAATCATCCCAGAGGGAGGAGACCGTGTTCACAAAGATAAAACAAATACAGCATTTAATTCTGCTGATAAATAGACAACTCCCATAAATGAATAGAGGAGATAACAAGCTCGGCCCAGCGGTTTATTCTGGGTGAAAGACTCTGGTGAAAGGCTCTCTACTTACACCCCCTTCTGGACACAAGATGGATGTGCGCCCATGCTGTCTTTTCTTTTTTTTTGTTGAGTCATTCAAATCAAGATTTTTGCTCAGAAGTAATCAGTGAAATTTCTTTCACACACACAAACACACTTAACAAATCACATTAGGACATTTAGTATGATACTTTTTATTTTAACTTAAAAAGAGAGTGGATCAAAAACAGGATTCAATAAATTAGAAATAAATATAATTGCTGTAATAATTAATACATACATTATAATTACTCGATTGCAAGAGTCTGACAGAAACAGGCCCTCGAAAGGTTTTTGCTCTAGAAAATTCTAAAATCAAAATATTGCAACCCACTCAAACCCCTTCTCCCGATAAACAAAATAATTGATAAATTAGTAAATAAATAAAAAATAGCTCAAATATTAAAACCTCCCGAATAAAAGTGCAATCCCCCCCTCCCCCGAGCTTCACCTAAAATCTAAGTAGAAATTTAAAATAGGTTAGTGATTTCCCATTTTACAATTTGGAATGTAATATCCCTTTATGAGGATCATGATGTTACTAGTGGTAATAATAATAATCATAATAATAATCATAATAATAATAATAATAATGTCGCTGTGTCCTGTTCAGTGTTTATCTAAAGTAGTATTCTTTTTGCATTTTTTCTTGTTTTTTAAATGCTGCTCTTTGTAAACTAAATTATTTACAGGTCATTAGGATTTTCTCCAAAGTCTCTCTAACCTACTCATTTAGTTGTCTTTTTTGTATTTTCTCGCCTTTTTTTATTATGAAACATCGGCCCCTCTATATTTGTCATGGAATAGACATGGTATAGACATGTTAAAGTCTATTGAAGTGATATATCAGCATTTTTCATCAGTACCTTCCATACATGCTCGGTCTGAGTTGTCTTAACTGAACTAAACACCCTGTTGGCGACACACAGACCGTGGTCAAACCAAGCTCTCGGCCGTATGGGTAAGATTACTGACTCGTGTGAACTGTGTGTGAGTGTCTGCAGGCATGTGTGTGTGTGTGTGTGTGTGTGTGTGTGTGTGTGTGTGTATCTGTGCACTTTATGTACATTTGTATATCAGCCTTGTACCGTTTGAGGTTCAGTGTTGAGAGTGCATGTGTATTGTGTGAGTGTGTGTATGTGTGTGTGGCTGCACTCCCCGGACGCTCAAAGGTAGCAGACAGTCTGAAAGCACTATGAACCCTGGGATTCCACCTCAGCTGGACTCTGAAAGGTCACCTGTGAGGAGGGGAGGAGAATCGGGGGGCGGAGGGAGTGATACAAGGAGGGAGGGAGAGAGAAGGAGGAAGGATATGTTAGAGAGCAAAGTTATAAATACACCGGAGCTCCATGTTTCTGTCTGATCTCAACATCTTGTCAAACATGCTCCTCCCGTCAAACACAACTCTTGTAGGCATGACTTGAACTGCTTTCATACGTCTGGCAGCAAACTGCACCTTAGGATGCTCCTAGCTCGTCTTTGTTTCAGTTTCATCTTGGTGACTTTAAAACAAGAAGGTATCATTCACAGTTGTAAAGCTCTGTCTCTCAACAGCAATAAAATCATGGTGCTTCAACACATACACACACAGTGTCTGGATCATGCAACTCCATACAGTGAAAAACCGTTTCGCGTATCCTTGTGTGTGCTTGGATGTGTGTGTCTGGAGGTATGCGTGTGTGTTGGTAGAGCTCCGTGTGTGTGTTTATGTGTGTGACCTTATGAGCATGTGCTGCACTCGTGTGCCTTGGATCATGGCAAGCAAACACTACTACCGACATGCATCACTCTCTGGCATTTGCAGTATAGAAATTCTGGGTGATGGTTTTAATCTCACTGATGTGGGGGGCATAGTGTTATCAGATAGACCTTTGCACTATCCGCAAGGATTTGTTATGTAAAACTTTGTCTAGGAATAGAACCAAAATCCTTTATTTATAATGTGTGCTGCCACGTGACGGTGTGTCCACACACTG